GCGCTGTGCACAGCAGCAGCAATATTCCACTATAACTGACTCGCGTGTTTGTCTGATTGCGCTATAGCAGTATTTTATCTACAAAGATAAAGAAGGGAAAATACTGGAGTTTTAGAATAGTATCTTTTTAAGAGACTTCTCGTTATTTCAGGACTCGTTATAAGTGGACTCCACTGTATTTGTTAACTTGATTTGTGACAAAGATCTATACATATCGAGTACCATTATATATGACGCAGCGTGGTGAAATCAGGCGCTCGTCAAAATAATCAGAGTGAAGAAACTGGCATTTTCACGCAGGTTTGTGGATTTTTATTGAATTTTCGTTTTTTGGCTCAGCACCTTTTATCCGTGTGGATTTTACTGAAAGACATTGATTAAAGGCACAAAAAGTATCAATTGTCAGTTTCCAAGGACTCTCATGGCCATTTTCTCGCTTATTTCACCTCTGAAACCAGGCAATCCTGACCTCCTTCAATTGCAAATAATTTTACTTCTATTCAACATAGATGGATATACTTTTCACCAAAAGCAATGCAAATAAATACGCTTTAAGATGATACTAATAACCCCATAGGCCTAAAAATTGACAAGCGCCTGACTACACCACGTTGCAACACATATGCTTGTATTTATGCTATCACTACATGTACAATTTCATAAAAGTATGAAGAAATTCAAAAAATGTTCAATAACGTGGTCATTTATTCATTCATGAATTCTTTTAATCATAATCAGTTCTCAAAAAACAATAATCTGAGGGGAGGGAGAAGCACCGATAGTTTAAACAACAAGCTCAAGAATCAAGTAGTCAAAGATAATGTTGAGGTGAACTTGGTTGAAAAACACAAGTCATGATCTTGCTTACAGACTAGGACAATTTACTGTTGGGTGCCACTGAAAATTAACATTGTTTGGCGGAGTCAACCTAAAACCCCCAAAACATTAGCTCTTTCTTTCAATACTATATAGAAACTTTGATCACTTGAGCTCAAGAGTACATAATCATTCTTAGTGGCACATGCTTACATATAATATGTATATTTGTTTCTCCCCCCAAGCAAACTTATTTATTCAAAAAGCAACATTCAGAGCAAAGAGGAAAAACAACCTGAGGGCATTTCCTGCCTTCCCTTCCCCCCATCTTAAATGTGTAAACACATACATACTTAAAAAATATTACAAAATGTTTTTAGCAAATATATCAGCCATGTACAACACACTTGTTTTTATGTTTTTCTTCTTCTATGAAGAGGTAATTTGTGTGGAAATTACAGCACAAATAATATTGTACACATTTTGTCATGAAGGGAACCCTTATATTTGAAAGCTTGTATCATTCTCCAGAAGTAATTATTATTGTCCTCTGTGTGCATCAGGAAAGTACAATACAGTAGACGGAAAAAAAATCACCTGAAGAACACTAGACAAATAAAAAAAAGATGGGACTACTACTCTCATTCATTAAAAGACATTTTTTAAAAATGTTACATAATCTTCACTAATTCAACAGATCTTGTCTTACTAAATTTTCTTTTATGAGGACAATCAAAGTTTGGGTCGTGTAGAGTAAAATTGAGTTTCACCACAATTATGAAAGATATGACAGTCTTTTTTATTTTATTCCACCAGCAGTTGAAGATTGAAAGGTACCTCTCTACAACTAAGGCATCCAGGAGGTATTTGGGTACAAAAATAAATACTATCTGCATATGAAACATGTTAAATATCTAAAGCATTGAAGATTTATTTCTGATATAACTACTGTTGGGAATCAAGAATGAAGGAAAAGAATGTGGAGTGTGCAGGATGTAAGAACAAAAACTGTATTATCAAATTACCCTGCACTAACTTCCACAATGAGAGAATCAGTGGTTTGCATAATAATAATGGCTTTCAGCAAGAAGTGGATGACAACTGAACAAAATAAAACCCAAAAAAGTTTTAACAACATAAATTCTTGAAAATACATATTGGTCTTTTTAGAATTGAAAAAAAAAAGCAAACATCTTTACAGAGTTGGCAAAAAGAACATAAACGCATAACTCTTTCAAATCAACTAGAAATTCTAAATCATACCCACCCACCATTCACTCTTCAGAGCAGTTGGGAGCCTTTATTAATAACTGTCACTTTAAATCAATCTTGTCTAAACCAGATGTCCAAATGCACAACATTCAAACCAATGATATGTACCAAAGCATAAGAACCATTTAGAAAAAAGAAGCAATCTGACAACAGAAGATGATCAGAAACTTGGATTTACTGTGTATCATTAGCTCAGAGTTCCAAATTTTTGCAGCACAGAAGACAATTAACCTAAGCCATTTGCCTTCTTTTCATTCCAAACACAGGCTGGAATTACATCTATGTCATCAACTTTAAGCGGTTTAAAGCCTAGAAAATGCCATACCAAATAATATTATATGTTTATGTATGTATGTATACATACATCTGTGAAGGACAGTGCCGACCAAGATGTAGTAAAATAAAATTAATTGTGATAATAGATTCATATAAGAAGGAAACAATCTTAATTAACAAGAGTTGGTCATGCACTGCCCAAACATCAAAAAGAGGAAGGACATTTATTAAAGATCACAATAGAACAGAAGCAGATAGAGAATATATATCACAATCACATTACAATTATGAGGAATATTGCTGCCAGCATACAGAAGAGTAACAACAGGAACAATTAAACAGTGGGGAAAAAAGAAAGCTGCACAAAAACTGACTCGTCAGGTTTGTCCCATTTCCATTGAGTGGCTTGGATAAGGGAGGTACAAATGTACTTTAACATCAAGCTTGGGTTTTTCCGCTTTGTGGCCCAAAATATTAAAGAGAAGTATCATCGTCTATGAAGAATGAGGCAGGGAATGCCAATGCCTACAAAACTGATATCAGAGATAATAAAGCTGCAAACTAAATCAATCTTTAAAGTCTTGACACAAAAAGACAGGCTCCTAGAAAGATGCACCTATAGGTGAAGACACACAAAAAGTCCACAAATATATTACCCCATTATAATGACATCGCACAGTAACAAACTTATCCAGGATGTTATGGGAAATTATATTTTAGAAAGGTCAAATGTTTAAAAAAATAATTAATTCATACCTAGCATCTGCTAATACAAAAATATATGACTAGGAATTAATAACTTTAATGCCACTTCTTCATTTTAGATACACTTATAATAGCTATGATAATGTAAACAGCAGAGAAACGTACAATTCTATTTGGAAGGAAAGGAAGTGAAAGTTGACAGTAAAAGTTTTTAAACAGTTGTGACCAACCATTCATCAACTAGAGGCACATATCTGTAAGTGGTTTGCTATTTTCCGTCCACACATAGCAACATCATTTTAGGTAAGACAGGAATTCAGCTTTTTTTTAACCTTTAATACAACATACACAATTTTCTTTTAATTCCTTTCCAATCAGGGGATGCAATGGAGTTGAAACTTGGCTTTTACTCTTTAAAAAAAAAATAGTGTTAGTCCATTTGACAGTCTTTTGCAGAAATCCATTCCATCGTAAGTCACACCTAACCGACCACGGTCTACCTGTGCTGTGTCAATTGGACAACATTTGGTAGGAAAAGCAGCAATTGACCAGATGGGATATTGTTAACGGCCACTTGCTGAGTGCATTTTGATCAATTTTTTTCTCACGAGTCAAAATGGAGCATGGAGTCTCTTACATATTGAGCTATAATTTCCCATCAAATTAAGGTACAACAGTGTCTCATACCCCATAAGAAAGGGATATGAATGTAAAATTAGATTATAAAAATTGCTGGGCCAAATGTCAATCAAATTGTAATTCCAAGGCAATAATGCATACCAGACCTAAAACAAGCAGTGCAAAAAGTATGTCAAATTTGAGAATAACCAACAGAGTAAAAATATAAATTGCTAAAGAACTGTTTTTATATGTGATTTATTCAATATACATTCACCTTTGAATGTGCGTGTCACTTTTTTAGGTAAAAAAATAATGGATTACAAAGCTACAGCCGTTTTGTGCAATCAGCTGGGTTTCAAAATTGTTAGAATACAGCAACAAACTGAAACAATGCACGAATGAAAAAACACTATTCTCATTCATATTATGAATAACCAATTGAACAGACCCCCTTGGAGAAGAACTTACAGGCCAGTAGCACTGGTCATTCAGAGACAATCAGTTAATTCACTATCCACTTAAATACCACGTGTGTCACGTCACACTGGAATCAGGTGCTTGTCAATTTTGGGGCATGTGGAGCTATTCGTTGGGCTTGTTCATTTGTTTAACTTTCAATGAAAAAAAATACTCATATATCTTGAATAGAAGTTGAGATATTTGCAAATTAAGGAGGTGGGGATTGCCTTTTTTCAGAGGTAAAATTAGCGAGAAAATGGCCGCAAAGTTTGGCGACTTCCATAGGATAAGAATCCTTAGAAACTGAAGATTTGCATTTTTTTTTGCTTTTTACCAACGTTTTTCAGTAAAATACTTATAGAAATGTGTTTAGAAAGGTGTTGAGCAAAAAACCCCCCCAAAACTCTATTAAAATTGCCAAACCAGGGGGAAAAATGATGGTATCTTCAATTTTATTTTCTTGACAAGCGCCTGATTTTACCACAATGCCTCAGATATTTTAAACTCACTGGAGCAGTGACAAGGCACAACTGTAGAAGGAGAAATACATAATTTGCCCATACTGTACTGCAGTGGAAACAAGACATGTTAGAACCAGCATGCTTTTCTTGACATTACTGCATTTTTTCCCCAGATCTTTTCATAAAATGAATTTCAAAATGCAAAATGCATGGCATTCTATGAATTTAGAGGAGTACTTCTCCTGTCCTAAGAATTCTGGGCATGTACCACTCAGAACAACTCCGTAGGGGTAAAGGGTTAAATACAAAACTCCCCCCCCCCCCCCCAAAAACCCCCCCCCCCACCCCAAAACAACAACAAACAAATTGAAACAAAATCCAACACTGACATTCACTGCAACTTATTTTTACTCTATAATGACAAGGACAACTTTAAAGCCATCATATTTGTATTCATAAAAAAAAAAGCATCAAACAAACTGGATGGCATTTTCATAAGGCATATTGTAAATAATCTGATTCATTTGATCAATCTTAGAAGAAAGTGCAACACTCGCTTTATTAAAAATTGCGAGCATAGGAAAACTCAGAACTCAGAAAAAGTGCATAGATTACAATAGAAAGAATTATCATTTAGTCCTGAAGTACTTAAGATTATTTCAAGGCTATTGTCATCTATTCAGAGAAATTACCTATACTGGAGTTGTTTCTGAAAACAACAAATTGCATACAAATAGGAGCCCCGACTTACCCAAGGGCAGCAGTTATTTACAAATCATCTGAGAAAAACAATGATTCTTTCGCACACATAACTTTAACACTAACAATACACAGGAACATTTAGTTTACAATTTCTTGCACTCACTTTTTGTTATTCAGTCCCATTGTACAAGTATTGTAAGCCTTATATCACTTGCTTTCTCTTCACAAGTCAACACTATACATTGCAAAATGCGATATGAAAGAAAAAGACAGAAAAAGGGCTTTAAAAACTAATGACAATATTGCCATACATATTATGCAGGCTCTGTGTTAACAAATATGCACTGGTCTGTAACAACATGTGCACGTATGTGAGTGTGCAATTGCATGTGTCTACCGATCGATAAGAGTCCCTATGTACACATAGTAAGAATGTTGGTGAGTTTATACAAGCAAATTTGTGTGTGTGTGTGTGTGTGTGTGTGTGTGTGTGTGAGTGAGTGTGTGTGTGTGTGTGTATGTGTGTGTTTGTGTGTGTGTGTGTACGTGCCTGTGTGCGTGTATGTGTGTGAGTGCGAGTACACATATAAATATGCTTACCATTCTTAGACTTTAAACAGACATGGTGGGTTGGATGAACCACAAACTGATGGATGAAATACAATCATACATGGAAAAGTGTAAAGGGGAAAGACATTATGATATGAAAAGTAGACACATCATAATAAAATGGAAAGGAAATGGTGTTGTTACTAGTCACAAAACGGACCAAAAAATGCAATGCTGACTGAATGACATTGATAACGTGCTAAGCTATGATTTTTCTAATCTATTTTCAAAGCAAACTTCAGGGAACTGCTTTGCTAGACTCACCAAGTAGCATTTTAGGTCTAAAATATACTAATAACGTAATCACTACAGAGACTTGAGCACATACCAATAAACCATAACATCTGCAAAAATAGTTGTACAGCGCATCATAAATAATAAAATAAAAAAATCTTCCATTGATTTTTGTTATAAATTTGTTGTCAACTCAGGGTCCGTTCTGAAATACTGAGCAATCCTTTACGAGCCCAACTAATGTCCATCAAATCTCAAGTCAGATTGTCTAGACTTCAATCTGAATCCTGCATGCTCTAGCCACCCAGGAGACAAGACTTTAATGGGACATTTGAATAGTCATATCTTTTAATCTAGTATTTAAATGTACAACTGTTGGGTCTGGTTTCACTCTATAGCTTAAAATGAAAAGAATATAGTGAAAAGCGTGTAAATAATAATAAATGATAAGCAGTCTTGTGTGACCAGGAATTCATATAAAACTAAAGCTACAACAAAATAAACCCCAATATGTTCAGTTTCCGTAATTATGTTTCAATGTTGAATATAGTATTATCTTTCTGCTGCCTTTGACACAAAATGAGTTTGTTGATGAACACTTTTGTTTAGGTCTTGCTTGCCCTACATTCCCTGTCAATAAGAAAGTATTATGTCTCTTGTAAGAATGGCAACACTAAAAATTAGAGAAGTTTCCCTTCATTCATGCCTCTAAATTCTGACAAATCTGTGACTGAATTGATTGGGTAAAAAAACCCTGAATAAATTGTCAAAATGCTATTCAAACAAAACTGAAAATATGTACAGAAGTCACTAAATTAATCTAGACTCACTTAGTCTGTCCGGTCTATTTTTCAAAAGTGGAAAGAAGAAGGACCAAATCCAAGTGTCACTGACAAGCTTAGGAACTGGATTTACAAACATATCATTTCCACTCATTAAAAAGAAAGAAGATTTTGAAATCCACTTGTTTGTAGCAACACTGAGGGGAAAGTAACAAAGTTTACTTTTCAAATTCACACATAAATTGTTGAAACACGCACACTTGTAAACCAGTATTGCTAAAAAGTTTACTTTCAGACAAGCCCATTGATACTTCAAATACTGATCTACACTTTCAAGCTTTTCTTTTTGCAATCAAGTAAAAAAAAAAAAAGGGTAAATGCTTGTACAAAACATCGAATTGACCTGCATTTTGTCATGACATACGTACTCATGATATAGAGATATATAGATATATATAAAGTATGTATAAGAAATTATGTTAATATATTTGCACTTTATCACAATAAACCTGAATAGCAAAACCACAAACAAACAACATGCATTGCGTTTCTGTCAGCGTGTGTGTGTTGTCACAACCGCTCCACAAAAATGATCTGTTCACTCTCTAGTTTTTGAGAGCTGTTGTTAGCAGGGCCATCGTCAAGGGGCGGAGAAGGTTTTGCTGCTGTTGCTTCTGCTGCTGGTGGTGGTGCTGCTGGTGGTGGTGCTGCTGTCCGAGTGTGCAAGTTGGGGGACATTTCATGCTTTGCCGGAGGACTTGATCTTGTTGGAGACTTTTTGGGTGGTGCCAAACTATCTGAAACGGTGGCAGTAGCAGAGGCATTGGGAGAACTGAACGCTGTGAGTTTGGGTTCGTGTGTGCTGACCCTGGTCCCTGAATGGTGCCCTGAGTCACCATGGTGCCCACCATGCCCTGCATGCTCCGCCCAGTTGGAGACTTTGGTCAGCACCACGTTCAAAGGGGTCATGACACGCTCCTTCATGTTCAAGCCGCTGGTGATCAGCTCGCCAAAGCCAGCCTGGTGGGCGAACGCATAGCCTGACCTCATCGAGCGTGTGCTGCGACGGATAGTGGACTGGCGACGCATGCGGAGGTCACGACCTGTCCTGGACTTGGACTTCTTCATACCCTGCTTGAAGCGCACGCGGTCTGAGAGCGTTGGGGTGACGTTGGTCATGTAGAAGCGGTACGCAACCATAGGCAAGATAAGCAGCGTGCTGGTGATGAGCAGGCACAGCCAGAATTTGGGCAGGCCAAACACCTTGAGAGCCACACCTGAGTACTTGTAGCGGATGGCGTCCGAGTAAAAGGCCAGGTGGAAGCAGAAGTAGTAGATGATGCTGCCCCAGATTGTGAAATGGTTGAAGCCTGTCCAGTAGCTTGTGTCCAAGGCACACTGAAACATTAAAGAAATGGCATTGTGCCAGTTTATCTCACGGATGACAGACAGGTATTATTTGATGAGGGAAATGGAGAATTAGGAGAGAAAATAAAAAGCAAGAAAATAAAAGTTAACTTTTTTGTGCAGATGATCCACTAAATAAGACAATGTAATAATAGAACCTACTGTTAATGTATTATAGAGCTTGTTCTTGACATTTCAGTCACATAAGTCATTTTGCCAACCATAATTTTTTAAAACTTTTAGTAAGAGTTTTACGGCACTTGCAACACAATAAGGTCCTATAGGTGCCCAAGATTAGAGGTGTTACAAGAGAATAACAAACACAAAAAAGAAGGAGAGATAAGGACGATAGATGTTTGATAGGAAAGAAGAAGCAAACCACACCAGAGCACCCACCAACCACCCACCAACTATAATTGAGGAAGAATTTGAAATTTGATCATGAATAATAGATCTAATACCATGATGATTCATCTGTCCACTGCCCATTTAGTAGATTATGTATTTACCTTTCTTATCATTTTAGCACAATATACAAAATGCAAACAAAGACAAACTGACTTTAAGCCAAAGAAAGCTTGGTGAAAATCCTGCATTATGAACACTGTTGAAAACTTTAGAAATTAAAAGATTTATGATCACAATAAAAATAATAATCATAATAATGTAGATAATCTACACAGTGCCTCCTCCCATATAAGACAGGTGTAAGTGCTTTACAATACCTTCATCTTAACACAAAATACATTAGATTAACACCAACACATAAGCCCAGGATAGGGAAAGGTGGAGAGTGTTTGTTCGTGGCCTATATCCTGATCCAGGGTGAGAAAGGCAATGATGAACACATAAGCAGACAGTCATAATATGACAGCACAATCGAAGACTATACGCACATCACATTATGAACATAGAAGTACTATAGGACTGTTACCAACTATCAAGAAAGCATTACAAAGGAAGGTTTCTAAATCAATTAATTTTTGCCTCCAACATTGCATCCTGCAAATGAAGTGGGAGAGGTTTCCAGGTAGAGGGAGCTAGATGAGAAAAGTACCTCCTTGAGGAGTCAGGCATATATATCTATTGAACAGTATGTCAATCCAGAAGGGTGTGTTCCATTGGCAAAAATAGCACAGCAAGTGAAACGATGTCTGTCAGGCACAGAACACCCACTCAAATTATCAAAATTAAATAATCACTTCAAAACCAACAAACTGATAAACTTTACAGAGGAACAAATAACATGAACAGTGAAATTTTTTCAACATCAATACAGTTGAAGCCCAAGTACTAACCCGCAAATTGACTGTGACAACCAGTATGGCTGCCACAACTGTACCAAGCGATTGGGTGTCTGTTACATCCATTCCACCTGTGTCAACACTTTCACGGAAAGTCCCATAGGGTAAGAAAAATAAAATTAGCGATGAAATCACTCCTTCTGTCACACTCCACGAGAATTTCTTTTTGTTGAAGAGGGCATTTTTCATTCCAGGCTCGTAAAGCTTTGGGTACTGAATGCAGTAATGGTCATCAACATCCTAAAAAGGAATGAAAAAAATATATAGTGTAAGCGTGGTTCAGTTGGTGACATTTCAATGAAACATTATAAGAATAAAAACATGTAACTGATTACTTTTTTCTATAAGAAAACGAAAGTGTAGTAAAGTTCCAGTGACATACAAATTTTAGCTAGAAACTTCCAAAATTTCACGGGAAAAGTAGACTGTTTCTTGTGAAATCACTTGGTATAAAAGCAGATAAGAAAAAGTGTTATCAGGCTCCCCCCTCAACCCCCCGAAAAACATTCCCAACTTAAAATGAAAAGAAAGTAGAGTTATTATTTTTATTTTTTTTTTAATAGTAGAGGGTTTTACGGCGCTCGCAACTGCATAAGGTCATATGAGCGTCATACAGCTCATTATCAATGTGTATCTCAAGTTTTTGACTCATAAAAAATCTGCACTGAAACCGAAGAACCGAAGGCTTTGCCTCAAGCCTAGTAATGAAATTTAATCAGATAAAGATGCAATGAACCAACAATACACTTTTAAGACTTCTAGTGACCAGTATATTTAACAATAAAAAGAAACGTTACCTGGTCAAATATACCAAGCACAAGAATAGGCAGTGAAGTGTAGAACACGTTGTACAACGAGATGAAGTATGGGTCGAACAGCGTCTGTGCCGAAAAAACAATTAAAGGAAATGAATGTAAACCGTAAAAGACTCAGTCTAAGTTTAAACAAGTTGCAATATCATTCCGTGTCAGAAGCAAGTTCATTTGTGTTGAGAAGAAGTAATATAAAAAAAAGAAAACCAAGCAACAATAAGATCAAATGCATAAAAATATCAAATGGAAAGATATCTCATAAATTAAAAAAATTATTTACGAGGCAAACTATTACGAGAAAAAACCCTGCTAAATAAATCTCGTCATAGCTTTACAGCATACTTTTACTACACAGAAAATATGTACTTCACTCCCCACATCCATGTCACAAATGTGATACATCATACCAAGACAATTTTCAAGAGCGGTATTTCTTCGAGCAATCAAAATCGATAAAATCTTAAAACATGATCTATTATAATATAGATATACAACTGACTTCAAAGTAACCCCTTAGTCAATGCCTAAAACACAATAAGTTTTTTTAAGGAAAAGATGAGGCCTTTAAACAACCATCAATGTATCAGTACATCCAGTCTACACTGACACTTTATTGAAATGTGAAGAAAAGTTTAAAAAAGAGTATTTTAAGGAATACAAGTCAAAAGCTGTAAACCAGCTGTTGAAATTACACACCTTAAGTTTCAAATCTCGCTCGGAATATGCCTTCAAACTTCAATACTAAAGAAAAGAAGACATGAACAATACAAACTCATAGCATTGAGTATTTACTGGGTTTCAATTTTAATATGATATTCCTCTCTGGTGCTTTTCTACAAGTTAAAAAAGAAGGTAAATTGGGATATTTCATAAAGACCAGTAAGCTACTGCTTTAATGACTAACACAAATATGAGTATTATTTTCGTCACATTATAATGAATATTTGATATTTTCCTCAACACTTCATAAGACATTCCAGTCCATTAATGACACATAATGGCTGAAACATGATACTAAAAAAAACCCTTACCTGAGCCGAAAATCCACAGAAAAATGCAAACCAGAAGTGACAGAGGGTGAAGGCAAAATTTTTGTAGAAGAAGTAGCGGAGGAACTTGCACATGCGCAGGTAAGACCAGCGGCCATGGACTAGGAGAAGGCGTTCCAGGTACTTGAACTGTGAGATGGAGTAGTCGCTGGCCAGCACAGCCTGCATGCCCTCCTGGCCACTGATGCCTATGCCAATGTGGGCAACTGAGAGAAAAAAAAGGGGTGAAAGTGTGGAGGGGTGGGGGTAAAAGAAAATGAAAATCATGTTGACGAAAAGTAGAGCCATAGAATGATGACTGCATGACGAACACCATATTTTGTTTGAGTAAAGAGAAGCATGTCAATGCTAAAAAAGGTCATTCAGAGCAGGAAGTAACAACTGCAGACAAAAACAAAAGAGTTAAAAAATGAAGCAAGACCTACTAGTAGTGCCCTCCAGCCACCTGTGTTACATTTGGCCAGGAAGCTGATAAGAACAAAAGCAGCAATTATGGGATGTAGAAGGAGAAGACAATACCCAAGAAGTATGTGTTTGGTTTTATTTCTTTTTGTAGCTCAAATCATGAAATGATCAGTCTCGTTTGAGTTTTCATTAAACAGAAGCACCTAGACAGAATAACTGTCATATAGTGCAAGGAAGAAGCAACACAGACAATAACAAAGGAGAGAAAAAAAAGAAGTAAGAAAGAAAAGAAGCAGGACCTACCAGTGGTGCCCTCTAACCACTTGTAATCAGTCTTGCTTTGGTGTGAAAAATATAAAGGGCCACTTGTGGATTTACTGACACATAAATCAGCTTCATAATCATTATTCTTACTACACAACCCAGAGAAGGCATGAAGGAATTGCTAATGAAGAATACAATCCACACTAAAAACCCACCTTTGATCATACTGACATCGTTGGCCCCATCTCCTATGGACAATGTGATGGACTTCTTATGGCGTTTGACCAGGTCCACCACCAAAGCCTTCTGCAACGGTGTCACCCGACAACAGATCACTGCCTTGCACATACAGCCCAGATTGAGCAATGTCAGCTCCTGCTCTGGCTTCAAGGCATGGGCCTGGGGAGGGTAGAGAAGTGATTGCTTAAAGCTTGATTAGTGCACACGGATTCAGTTGTGAACATCACTGATAGAGTTGGAATCAGTTTCACTGATTAAACCTCAACGAAAATTTTGATTGCTTCCTGTTTTGTGATACCATGTCTCAAAGATCAAATTCAGCATAGAGCTCACAGCAGGTGAACCCAGTGCATCATTGACAGCAGATGTTCATTAGGGCTCACCTTCAGGCCATGGGCATAAGTTGGCAATGGGTAAACACTTCTCAATTACAAAGAATCGCTTAAGAGAAGCACATTGACTAAAAAATGATTAATGATGAGATTTAAAATTTTAAGTAATAAATAGCTGGGAAAGAAGAGATGTACAAGCTCCACTTTACAAATACATCTCTGATTTTTTAAATAGAGCAAGAGGGGACAGTCATTAACACAATGTAAAGATTTATTAGTATCCAAAAACATTTGTGAAGATAAATATTCTATTTCTTTTTAGTTTACCTCCACTTTTCAACATCAACAAAGAGTCTAGTTTTAGTTTTAGCACGAGTTTTACTGCACTTGCAACACAATAAGGTCATATAAGTGCCGAAGAATAGATTCCATGTTACAAGAGAGTAACAAAGAAGGAGGGGAGATAAGGACGATAGATGTTTGATAGGAAAGAAGGAGCAAACCACACCAGAGCACCCGCCCACCACCCACAACAAAGAGTCTGAAATAACAAGGATACCCAAAAACTTTCTACAGAGGTAAATACAAGACTCCAATACTTAACCTTGCAAGATGACCAACTGATAAAATGTACTTACCAAACTATGGCCATTAATGACCAAGGCAAATTCTCCATACTCCTCATCCTCGCCAGTCTCCCCAACATCACCATTCTCAATATTGCCAGAAGCAGAGGTGCTGTTCATTTTAGAATTGGTATTGCCGTTGCGGAAAGTAACCTCTGATCCCACATGGTTTTTGCTATTTTTGGCTGCATCAATGTCTTCTAATGCCTGTTTCATCTGTGACTCCACTTCCTCCATTGATTCCCCATCAATAATAAATGGCTCCTCCATTTCATCTGTTAGTAACCGACAGGAGTAGCCAATGTTGATGGCAGTTTCTGAAAAACAAACAAAAAAAGGGACTGATCGCGAAAGTATCACTTCCCAATTCACCTAATTCAGTCAATTTAAAAGACAGACTGCTTCAACCACATTATTATAATTATGCAGAGGGACAAACCTTGGCTGACGGCAATTACATCACAAAAATAGGAAAAAGACACTCAATAAAATTGTCTTCTAAACACAGGAACTAAGGACTGTGCTGATGTTGTGAATGTTGTTGAAATCAGCATGACAACTGAGTACCATTTAGAAAGTTTTGTCCATTTTTGGTACAAGCTGAAGAATTTTCACTGTCAAACACATGCAGCAATCCATTAGTTTGCAGGTCAGTTCTGCTTTAGTTGCCAACAATGCTTTGAGCTACATGGGATGGGTGTCGTTGAATACAGACCAATCCTTATCATCATTATCACAATGTAACATTTCTTTACCTTGTAACACTGGAACTGCATCCAAAATAACTAATATTATCATTATCATCATCATTTTTATATTAATAATAATCATCATTATAAAAATAAAAAGAACTGCAATGGCTGAGGCTAGTTTCAATAAAATGAGCCCGATCCTGAAAAACAGAAACATCTCAATGAACACTAAAATGAAAGTCCTGAAATGCTATGTTTGGTCAACCCTTCTATATGGCTGTGAATGCTGGACAATCACTAAAGACAGTGAAAATAAAATAGAAGCAACAGAAATGAGGTTTCTTAGGAGACTGCTAAGAGTATCGTGGAAGGAAAAGAAATCAAATGAGGTAGTGCTTGATGAAGCCCACTTGAGACGCTCAGTGTTTAAAACAATCAGGAAATGACAAATGCAGTTTTTGGGACACCGGAATAGACATAAGGGTCTTGAACATCTAGGTCTCACTGGAAAAAATTGAGGGTAAACGAGGCAGGGGTAGGCCCAGAACAACATACTTAGGGAACCTAAACAAATGGGTAACAGGGAAAGATCAGGGAAACGTAGCTTTTTTGAGAGCATCCGAGCAAAGGAATGAATGGAAAAACATGATCGCCGATGTCTGTCGCAGATCTGGGACTGGATAATGATGATAAAAATAAAATTGAAAATAATAATAATAATAATAATTTATTAATATTAATATAATTATCATAATGCAATTTTTCTTACCTTGTTTGTCCCCTGTGAGAACCCAGATTTTGATGCCTGCGAGGGCCAAATTGGCAATAGTCTCCGGGACACCATCTTGAAGTTTGTCCTCAATAGCTGTTGCACCAATCAAGATCATGTCCTGTTCTATTTCCTCATAGATAGCATCCAGCTTGCCATCTCTGTCCTCCATGGCAGTACTGAGGAGGAGGCGACACCACAGAGAATAACAAAATTTAGTTAGGTACACTTCCAGGAACAAGGTAGAGGAATTTCAGAGCTCAAAAATTAGTCTCATTTCTTTATCAATGTGGCAAGGGTAGTTTAGTGAATTGGCTGCCAGACTCTCAACAATAAGGTCAAAAGTGGGAATCCTGATCCACACCCGCTTGAGAAAGATCACTTTATGCTGCTTTTTATCATTTTTTACAGATGGGAATTACTACCGGACTCAGACGTATAAAGATCTTGACAGTATGCTGGCATTTGCGAGCCTGTGAAACAGTAGCATGGACTGATGGTTTTAGGAATAAGAGAACCATTCGAAATGCTTAAATCTGTTATCATTATTATAGGCCTAATATTATCAATAAAGGAAACAGAGTATGTAACTATTGAGGACAATATCTTGTGGCTGGGGAGAGTAGTTGAACTTGAGCACTTGAAAAGGACACCTTACAGAAATGACACTTTTTGGACTGAATGTGGAAGAAAATTTGCATCCTCAAAGCACAAATCCGTGGATCATTATTTATGATCATCAAAGTAAAGTATTTTTTCCCTAAACTGTTTCATTTTTCCTTTATATGAAAAGAAGCAAGTGAGGAAAGACCACTATATTATTATATTAGAAGTGCTTTCGACATGATTAGAGATTATTGCCTAAGTTTAAGTTTTTTGGGTAAATCACATTTAAAGGAATAAAATCACAAGACTTAACAATGATCCTCAAAAATCCTTTTTATAAACATAACAATTGTTGCTGTTATTGATCAAGCAATGCTTAAGCTTTTGCCCATTGAATTTAAAAAACCCTCAGCAACATAGTTGCAGGTTTTCTTTATCTGTGTAGTCTCAAAACTTGAAACAACATTTGCTGTTAATCCCACAGCTTTTGCTGTTCAACTTAATTTCACTTTGTAGAGGGAGAATCATTCAATATTACAATACATACTGTTCCTCAGGTTAAGGATGGCAAGAACAAAAATAAACAGTAGTTGAGATCCTGTAAGCAAAGAAGAGAAGTTGAACGGTTCTGTAGGCTTGAACCCAGGCACACAAAAGAGATTCAATGTCAAGATGGTTTTTATTTCAGCGATAGTCTGAAAATGTACTGTAATTCTGAAGGTTGAAAAAAGTAAAATATTCTCTGATTACCTGGCTTCATGGTGTCTTATCAGCCATCTGTCAAAGTAGCTGATATCGATCTCTTTGTAAGCCAACACAAGGGTTCGCAGCCCTGTCTGGGCAAAATCCTGCAAAGAACCAGAATAATGGTCACATCAAAAAGTGTTCTTACAAAAAGGAGTGCTGCTAAAAAAACAAAGTTGTGAGTGTATTTTACCAAAAGAGCAGAACATTAATATGACAACATTTACAATAATTCACCTGCTCATTTTCACAATGTGGTATCACATCTAGAAGCAAACATATTTCTTTAACAGTTATTTAGCACTGGGAACAGGCAAAAAAGTCATGGGAACAATTTGTTTGGCATCATGGTGAAGTGCACTTCAAAGAATAAAATTGTCTAAAAAATTAACTCTTTTCCACCTGTTTAGCAATTTTTGCTGACTTTTTTGTTTGTTTTGGGCTGTAAACCTTTAACGCCCCTTTAAAAACATATTCCTGCTTGGATTTTAATGAAAAATGTTGATTCAAAGGCACAAAAAATGGAAATTTGCTTTGGAAGCCACATAACTTTGGCAGTCATTTTCTTGTTAATTTTACCTCTTGACACCAGGTGACCCCAACCTCTTTCTGTCGCAAATATCTTGACTTACATTCAAGATACCGGGGTAGTTGGTTTTTTTAAATTATTAAAGCAAGGTAAATGAACAGACATTAAGATTAAACCAATAACTTCATATACCCCAAAATTGACAAGAGCTCGACTCCACAGTGTTCGTGTGATGCAGTAGCTCATTGACATGACCACAGTCACTTCTCTCATCCTTCCTGAGCCAGAGCAGTGAGCCAAAGCCGGAGCTCTGTCTTCAAGATGACCCGGAGTGTCTTGTAAAGTATTAGAGTGGATGATTAGAGTAGAAAATTTGAGTACTCCAAACAGAATCCCCTCAAACATTATTAATAAAAGTAAGCTAAGGAATCAACAACAGACTTCAACATCATCAACAAAAACCAGACTTTTCCCCTTACGTTCAGATGGTGCGTGGTCAACTCTTTCAGCTCATCGCATTTTGAACTCAGCAGATCAAACATGATTGTGTCCGCACCTTTGGAGAACAACATCACCTTTCCATTCTTCCTCACGATCACCTGATTGGACAGGAACAAGTATATTGTCAATGGTAAACAGCAAAAAAATAAAATATTTGTGACATGGGCTCCCAGGGGAAAAATTTACTTCATTTCCTAATGGCTCAGTTGAGGTGGCCTTTACAGTGAGTAAGGGCTATAACTAAATCTTCCAAATTTTGTAGGGAACAGATTAGGACAATGGTACTATTGAAAAGAAATGCAAGAAGCAGGCTACATCAGTGATCAAAGATCTCAAGCTTTCAGGGGATGGAAAAGTAAAAAATTTCGAAATAAAAATGAGGGACAAAAGTTCGCAAAATAAATCTCCCACTAAACAAAATTTACGCAGGAGGATCAATTGAGGCGGTATTGTCTTTATCTTATTTCATATTTTTTATTTTTTCAGAAGGCCTTCAGCACAGAGTCATGCCACAATACCTAGATTTATTCTCCAAGTATTAGACATTTTTTCAAACCTGAACCAAAAACAGACCAAATTTTTAATTTCTGAAAAGAGGTGCTTAAATAGACCTTGTACATGACATGCAAACCAAACACATCTGGTCATAAAATTCTGAAAGGTAGTTTTTTTTTACAGCTCAAAACATACCGACATACGCTTCCTGACATTGTTGAAATCCAAAATGCAAAGAAGCTCGTAGGTTTCTTCTTGTCCAAGCACCTCAATGGTGATGGTGCTGGGTGTTCGAGACTGCAAATATGCCATGGAAAAGTATACAAATAAAAGTAAGTAAATTAACAATTAATTTCATCATTTTCATGGAAAATATTTCTCACAGCTGCTAACAGTGACAATTGAAGATGAGCATACTTACCAAAGAAAAAAAGCATACAATTAATTTACAGATTCAAGTTATGTCTCTCTTTCTCTCTCTTTCTTCCTCTCTCTCCCCCCTCTCTCTCTCATACATACAAACACACACACACACTTACACTAATTCAACCACATGCATACATTTGCATACAAACAAAAACCAAAGATTCAAAGGTGTTTCAAATATGTTTCCCACACTTGCTTCATTTTGGCAGAGAAACCTTACACAGCGCATCTGAAATAAGCAATGACAAGGGAGCCAGCTCGGAACCTGAAACCTATCACATCACTTGGGGAGAGCTCCCTTAGCTAAGAACCTGTCATTCATGCTGGACTGACAGACAGTAAATGTGCTTTAACCCCCCCCCCCCCCCCCCCCCCCCCCCGGGACACAATTTAGATCATTTGGGAGGCTGGCTGACTTTCACTTGTCACTCTGGGCTGAGTGGGATACAACACATCCCTGCAAACAGATTGAGACACTTGATTTTAAAAAAGTCTTCCCAAAATAAGAAGCAAAACTCATATCCACTGCGCGCAATGGCGAAGAGCATAACGCAACACAACAGACACACTACAGATACCAGTGGCTTGATAGCATGACTTTTGATCTTTAAGTACCTTGAAGACAAAGCCAAAATTGCGGGCTGCTCCAACCAAAGCCCCTTCATCTGGAGACTGCGCCTGGTATTCCAAGGTGTCTGAGAAGCACAAGCATACAAAATAAACACACTGAGTTATGAACAGAGATGTACATTTATGTAATAATGGCTCTTCAGGATGAGGAGGGAAAAAAAAGGAAGGCTGTCAAAGAGAAACAACAGAGCAACAGCAAAGTAGTAAGACCTTCCAAAAGCACTCTCTAGAGACCCTCAAGTACACTTCCTCAAAGGACATTTGTCTTTTAGTTTTTTAAATTTCCATTTGATAAAAACAGCAACAACTTACAAACCTATTGATATGTATTTACACCAAGCGACATGAAACTAGTTCTCAGGCCTGTGCTTCATTTGCAGTGTCAGTCTACGTTACAGTACAAACATCTTCACACACGCACGCATGCACAAAGACACACACACACACGCATGCACAAAGACACACACACATACACACACACACACACAGTATTACAGTAGTCATGTATCCCTATGAAAGGCTCACACAACTTCCCAACCTTTCCTCAGCTGGCCTTTATATCAAGCCTACATGTAATTTACAATTTCAGTAAGGGGAGTGTGCACACCATGTAACAGTCTGTTAAGGGCACACAACTATCCATTATTATTATTATTGGTTGAAATAGAACTAAGAGAAAAATATTGTGGCAGGTAATACCCCATTCCCCTAAAGAAAAAAATTTATAAAAGATTTAAAAAATAAAACAAAATCAAATAATAATTTTTTGCCCCTTTGTTTCCCCCCCCCCCCCCCCCCCCCCCCCCCAAATAAAAAAAAACAACCTAACCCCAAAACATACATGAACACAACAAATTAGGACTGGGTCGGAGCAACTCCAGGCTCTTATCACACACATGACAACAGCTGTTGCAATCAAGTCCTTCACATCAACAATTACTAAATTGATGCATCTCCCCAATAATGTTAAGCAACTACTTAAACAGACAGACTCTAAACAGCACTACATAAACCTCATCACTGCCTGTAGACGTTACATGAGGCTGCAGTCCATTTGACAATCTATTTGCATTTCTCTATAAATACTTAACTTTTACTTTTTCATCCTCTGTTGCCATTAAGTAACGAAGGGAGATGCAGTTTTCTATGGTAGACCATTTCAATACAAGACAACCCAGTTAATGATGTTGAGATACATAAAGCAAAAGTTGTACTCCTATTTTTATAGGGAATTAGCTATCATTAAATTCCTTTCCAACACTAGGTGAGTATTTTGAGACAAACTAGCTAAAAGTTCCCGCTGATCGTATTCATGCACAACTCTTTCAAAGAAAAGACCACCTTGAAAGCATGACATCTTCAACTTTACATCCCCTATTTCCACCTCTAGAAACAAAGGAAAACACCACCTTCCAATCACAAAACAAAACAATATAATACCAGCTTGTTGACATAATGTCAGCATCTCTGCTGTATTTTTTCAAAGAAACATGAAAAATCTGTCATAATCACTACCATCTCTCTCCCTCCCTTTTTACTTTTTATATATGGACAGCATAGACAGCTAGCTTTTGGTGAATGCTCTTTGGAACTTCTACTTAATCCAAGAGAGACTGTTTTCACCTTATCTAATCTAATCCCGACAGAATACTGCATGTTTGTTTCTTTGAATAATTTAGTAAAGAGAAACACAGAGACACAAAAGCGCAATAACGGTCATTTAGTGCTGTGAAAAAGTAAGACAGACAGACATAAACAACAGAAGGAAAGTAAAGAAGTAGGACCTACCAACGGTACCCTCCAATTACCTATCTCTTAGAATGTTGCATCCAACTGTAACTGAAAGAAAAACAGAGTGCAAGTATAGCTTACCATCTTCCTTGAACTCTGCCATGACAGTGTGACACAAAGCAAGCAGGGTGAAGAACAGGTGGGTCTTTTCATTGTTGTTGGTCACTTCTTCAACCAGCTTCGAGTCATAAAATTCAAATTCTTTTTCTGCATAGGGGTTCCACGACAAGTCAATTTTAGGAGTGTTCTGGAAATGGGAAAGGCAAGCATTACCGTATGAACGTAGTTCCGACCGAGAATATATTTTAAACCATTAAAGTTTTAACCCTTTACTGTTCACTTTGTTCTTTTAAGCGTTGAAAAAAAAAAAACAACTACAAAGAACAAAAGCATGTTTAAGAGTGAGACGTCGAGCTCTGGCTCCTGATCTTTCTAGGAAAGTGAGCTATCACTAAAAACCATTCAATTTCCATCACTTTAAAAGAACTTAAAATACCTGTACTCAGAATATCATGAAAGTGATCCTAGAGAGAACAAAAGCATGAAATTAGCACTAATGTTGGCCATTGATCAGGATTCATACTCTTTTTCTTTGCAGAAACTTCACTGACAAAAGGAAAATAAAACAAAAGAAACAACTCTTTCCTGCATGTGTTGTATTTGCACTCAGCATCTTCATCCAGTAAAGCCTTGCTGTTGGCAAATAAACCAATGTGCATTTTGTATCTGCAAACAAAGCAATGGGCCTTAAAATTCTGAGGCCAAACATTCATCAGTACACATGAAATACCCTAGCCATGGCATCATAGTCTCCTAAGGATTCATTATTTGGCAATGGCGACCTGTACTGATGCTGCACGGAAGAAAAGAGTTTGCATTAGGATCAAATGAGGTAGAAGCGGCTCACCTCTGAGATTTCCAAAGCATTCCCCTCAGCATCCACTGGGTCTCCATAGGATCTTCCATTTATAGAGCACTTGTTGAAGGTCATTATGTTCTACATTTAGGGATGAAACAATAATATAAAAGCATTAGAACCAGATTGGTTGAGAATATATACACAAAAAGACATTTTGGAGACTTGACACAATTTCTAAAGGATCAAGTAAGACAAAAAAAAAAAATCTTTACTTATATTGAAAGAGATATAACCTTAAGAAAGCTCAGAAAAATGTCATTAAGCCAATCAGTGACTCAAAACAGTCCTACTTCTTTTGACACCATACAAAAAAACCCACTAATCACTAGGTTGTTTCCGCAACGGGAGTTGGCAGAGAAAATGTTCCCCGAAGGAAGAGACCAAGTATCACTCACTATATTCAAAACTTGCTAATATCAGTCTCACAGAGCAACTAAAAAACAAAGCATCTGGGATCCATATCAAATCTGTTCAACAATTTCTGTACATCATATTCTCTTTCAATGACTTTTGAATAGTAGGATGAGACTAATGAACAGACAACAACCTCACTGCAGGAATAAGACTAGCACGGAAAGAGAGGGAAGATTATTTTCTTCCATTGGCTGCTCAGCCATGAAAATTAGAGGTCATCAAAAATCATTAAAAGCCACAATGCAAAGTGCAAGCTCCCAACATATCACGACATGTACAATGTGTCCCACAAACATGGGAACAAAGACTTTTAAAAGCACAGTAGAAAACTATCTTTTAGTCTGCACTTGCATTGTGACTGAAAAACTTCACAAACTTACAAAAAAGCTGCCTTTCCACATACCTGAGTGAGGGTCCCTGTTTTATCAGAGAAGATGTATTCAATCTGCCCCAGTTCTTCATTCAGAGTGGTTGTGCGTGCTTTGGCAGGAGTATCACTCTTTTCATAGTACATTTTTACATCCCAGTTGATCCAAAGGCTATGGGCTAGACGGATTATTTCAACACTGGGGAAAATAAAAAGCATAAGACATGTTAGAGCAACACCACATAAATTAAAAAAATTTCAAGAATCCACAAAATTACAGAAAAGGTTAAGAGGATGAGCTACCAGTAGTAGGAAAGATGCAATATTAATTTTTAAAGCACAGCATTTTTCCAAACATTCCTTATTTCAATGTCAAACAAAAGCCAACGACATTGTTTGAAACCGTTTATTGATCACGATACAGGGCATTTTTATGAAGATATAGTCCATGTAACAACCCTTCTTCAAAAGTCTTTTCTCTCAGTTGTCGCTTTGCAACACTGCATGTGAGTTCAAAAAGCACAACTTTTTGGCAAACATTTAAAATGATGACCTTTAATTCTATCAGCATAGGTAAAAGTGAAATGTTAAAGTCGCAAAATCGTTTTTGCATGAAGGTAACATCTAAAATTATTGCTTATGTAGAGTCAAATAGAAGTTGTTCTTCAATTTTAAAGAAAGGGTTACCTGAGGAAAACATGAATATATTGTTAGAAAGGGAGTTAATCAAAACTTGTGAAAGTAACATTTTAACTGCCTACAAGAGATAATAACTCAAAAATGTGGAAAATATAACCAAAAAAATGACCGAAAAATCCATCAGGGAGGGGGGAGGGGTGGTTTGAAGGGAAAAAAGACAGAAACCAAGTGAGAGAAACAGAGAAAATGGAAAAATAGACAGCTGAAAAGTGAAAAAGAAAGTAAATCCTACCTGACATATAACGATATAGGCACTACAGTATTCAGAATAATGATGTAAGAAAGGAACACGAGGACGGCAATTGTCGTGGCTCCCTTCTCCTTGTCCTCTGACACAAAGCTCTCCCAGGGCAGGTACACCTGGAAGTCGTGGCCCGTCATGGTCTCCCAGATGCCACAGGCAACCGTACAAATCAGGCACATGGTCAACAGGAAAGCAAAAATCTGTGAATATTGGGAATATTGTGTAATATATTGATAAGCTTGTAGATCCTCTAATATATTATTTTGAATATTGTTTGATACCCTTATAAACCTGACGGATTGTGAAAGATAATTATGTCTTTTTTATATATACAGAGCCTATTATATATGTGTGTGTGTGCATGAATTATTTTGTCTACAGTGCATATGCATGTTCTTCATTATTATTTTTTTAATCTGAGAAAACAAGAGAAAAGATGATAGTAGCATGTAGTAGCGAAGCCACTTGCTTAAGTATAAAATATGTCACTCCTAAAAAATACTTATCAATTTACATGCAATTACAAATGTGACATGACATAGTGGAATCAGGGGTCGTCAATTTTGGGGCTTATGAAGTTACTGGTATCAATTTGAAGATTGTTCATTTGTTTTGCTTTCAATGAAAAAAAAAATTCATCTATTTTGAATAGAAGTCAAGATATTTGCCACTGGAGGTGGAGGTGGTCCCTAGATTTAGACGTAATATTAATAATAATAGTTCATCCGTCAATGTCTGATGATGACCAATACACACGTAGAAGAGAATATTTCTCAGGCGAAACAAAAGAATCAAAATTGGCAAAATATGGACGCCAAAGTTTGGTGACTTCCAGAGCTTAAGGGTCCTTGGAAACTGCAAATTGACGGGGTTTTTTGCTTTTGATCAAGGTTTTTCCGTTAAATCCAGAGAGAGATATGTTTTTAAATGAATATAAAAGGTGTTGAGCAAACAAAAAAAATAAATCAAAAATTTCAAACGGGAAAATATGTCGGTTTCTTCCATATTATTTTGACAAGTGCCTGATTTCACCATAATGCCACACACATATTATTATATGCCACCTCTGCCACTGATTAAACCATTTTCTTTCATTTCTAAAAGAGAGGGGTTTTTTTCAGGCAATCTTCGCTCCCATCACAAGAGGTTCAAGATTCATTGTAGTCTAAAAATAGCATCTTATGCCCAAAAATATAGATGATGCCATCTGTGCCTTTGAAGACATTCTGTCTTTCATATCAAGTAGAGGAGTGACCCACAAAATAGAACACAATCTTGGCAAAAAGTGACAAAGGAAGAAAGTCATTGTTTCAAAAGACTGAAAACTCCCCATCTCCCTCGCGTTTCACTGGATGTATACGCTGTCAAAATTGCTATTCATACATCAGCAAAATATAAATGAGTTTATGAAACTTAGTGGGATGTAAGCAAAAGGAAATGTTAAGAGAATAGAGGAAAAGGAAAGAGGTAGGGCCTGCAAGTGATATCCTCCAACCATTTGCCCAAATCAATTCCAAGGTGAGTATAAAAAAACCATAATATTACAATCCTCTAAAAGACATTTCATAATCCACTCCACAGCTGAAATGATTACTCTCTCAGTTTGCTCCAGATTCACCATCCTTCCAATCTCAACAGGTAATACCAGATCTTCTAAAAACTAGTGTGAAGTTTTGCTGCTATTAAGCTCCCCCCAAACTCTCCCATTAAACTCTCCCGAAAAGAAGGGCAACTTTTTTTTAAGGGGAAAGAAGGGAGAATAATAACCATAGAGTTTTCTCAGTATTTCGAGAGAAATTAAAAAACAATTTTAAACAGATAATAAACAAGGTGAGAAGAAGTACAATTTATTACTTATCATGACGATAAAAGTAAAAATAATTGTGGTGATGATGATATGGGGTGATGATGATATGGATGGAGAGGAGTAGGACGAATATAACAACTGGAGATAGCATTTATTTGGGAGGGGCAACGGAAGACTGGACTGCCTCACACATTACCCGAAGAAGGCGCTGACGGGTAAAAAAAAACATTCTCAGGGGGACCGTGCTAGGCACAATGAGGAACAACGTAGAGCAAAAACCCACTCTATTCTCCCTTTAACTTGTAAACACATATACAACAACAACCGTAGCTGCAAAGAAACGAGGTGCGAAAAACCAAATGAGTTTGTTCAGAGGGACAGACAGAAATACTTACACCTAAAATAAGAAGATTCATTAAACGATCAATGTTAGTCCGCTTGAACTTGGTCTTGCCGCTGTTCATCATGAGCTTGGTGTCACGCCCTGCAAAGACCACCAGCCCGTAGCACCACTGAGTGTTGCGCAGGATACAGCCTCGCAGCAGGATCTTCTCATTGTCGATGGCGAACGTTTTGCTCTTCCACATCATTTTACCCTCAAACTTGCTAAGACGGTTGTTCGGCGGCTCACTCACAATTTCAGCTGCCAAACAAAAACAACAACAACAAAAAAACATGTTAAGTCAGCATGACAGATAAGCCCATTGACATGACCGCAATTATTTTATGAGAGGCAAAACCCAAGACTGACAAAAAAGCAATTAAAGGGGAGATACCATAAAAAGTTGGTCTGACAAGTGACATCGTCCAAACATCAAAAATAATCACAGTCAATGGCAATATATCACTGGATTACAAGTATGTATATTATAGGATTTATGGAATCTTTCATATTTTCAAGTCATTTTATTGGCATAACTGTCATGTATGTCTTTGTTTTAGTGTCGTTTTGTGGCACTTGCAAGTGACAATGACAATGACAATGACAATCTTTATTTATCTCGCAGGGAGAAATTTGTCTTGTAAGTGCTGAAGATTAGAGTAGAGGTGTTAGAAGGAAACAAACACAAAGAAGAAGGAAGAGAGATAAGGACGGCAAATGTTTGATCAGAAATAATAATAATAATAAATAATAAATAAAGAGCATTTGTATAGCGCATATCCCTGCTCAACAGCAGGCTCTATGCGTTTTACAAATCAATTCTGACTTCACACCACACAAATCCCATTATGATTAAATGAATAGCAGAAGAAAAAACTCACCATCAAATGCAGCAAGTTTGTGGAGATCTTCTCCCATTTCAGCAGTTTCTTCTAAGGCTTGACGGACTTTTAAATTGGTCTCCCTGCAACAAAATTTGATGAAGAAGGTTGTCTATAGTATGCCAAAGAGAATTTTACAAAGAAATGAAGGCTTTGCATAATGTTACAAAATTGTTGAGAGAGAGGGGGACAGAGATAACTAGAGGGGGAGAGAGAGAACTAGAGGGGGAGAGAGAGAACTAG